CATCTGAAAGTGATTTCAACTGGTTCCTATATCGGGCATGGACGGGTGTCGAAGGGAGGCTACTCCACAAGCAGATTAAGCTAGAGTCCTCGCCGGAAGCGCTGAGCTGAAAATGCTCGATTCTTATTGACCCATATTCTGTCCAAGAAGTATATAATATCACCGGTCGGCAGCCAGTTAACTGCAAATCTCTCCAATCTACATGGTCTTCCGTTGTAAAGGGTGCGTCGCTTCTAGATGTCGGTAGGGTTTTTCTTCAGTAAGAATCCCTCTTGACTGTTGACGCTAATGTTTCGCATGCCACCCATTGCCAGCAACAGAGGGCTGGTTACAACCGAGGTCGAACTTACCCCCCGTGGTTTCTACATTTACTGGATACCTTTTCGGTGACTCACCATATTACTGACCACCTTAAGTTGCTTAGGATGGCCTTCTTTCCCTCCAGACACCCCTCGAAAAATCAACTCCAATACATTTGTTTTTTCGGATTACTGGTATAACCCCATCGGCGCACTTTCCCGTATTACTCACATAGGCTGGGAGCAAGGTGACTTCGTATTTACAGCGCGGGTTTACTTACCAGAAGGTTCGTAGTTCGAACCCGACCCCTGCCTCTTGACTTCCCCTGTCCAGACTTGGGCAACCTGGCAGTATCCCAATCTTCGTTCCTCCTCTGGATGGCATGGCAGCTAGGCACCGAAATAGTCCCGCAGCTGAACGATTATTATGCATTATTTACTCACGTGGACTTCCAGATGCTCCAGGGAACCCACTTCAGACCGCTTCTTGAACGCGCCGCAAATGTCGTCTATTCAGGGTGGTAGAAGGAGCGTATACGCTCGTCAGATACATCTGAACTGGACACGTAACTGGATCGTACACGGCTGGGTAAACACTTAAGGAAAAGCTGTCTGAAAAAGCATAGTCTAGTTTGCGATCGCCGAGGATGCCATATAGACGAGCTAAGTTTCTGGTGGAGTGGAGCCGCCTAGAGTTCCAGGGCTAAGGAGTTGTGCTCGGAAATGCTGGTGTAGCTGATCAATTCATTCCGACGTTGAGTGATAGGGTAAGTAGCATCAGTCGCGTGAGAAAAGTGGTATTTTTAAAGTTTGTGCGTAGAGCGTGCTGGCACAGTGATGACCTTTGACTGCCCATTGACCCGTTAGTCCTGACCTGTGTGTACACGTGAGGGTGCGTCAGCCGCATTGAGTTGCATGTGTATTTATTATATTTAATGTGAAAACCCTATGGGAAATCACATTCGGCCATTTCCACTTGACAGTTCCGCAAAATAGGGGACCAAAATGGTTCCCTGATATGCAGCAAAGCGGAACGTTTGGACCGCTGGGCACAGTACTTTGAACAGCAATTCAGCTGACCACCTGCTACCTCTACTCCAGAATCCTGGCCTTCAACAGAAAGGTAGACCTTAAGTATGGAACCGCCTTCAGTCTAAGAAGTGTCCGAGTATATTCCTCTCAAGCGTTATCGTGTTGCTGAAGACCTTCCAATTGCTCTTCCCAAGAATGGCGATGGGCTTTCAGCCAGTGCCTATCTAGCCTATTTGCGCCTATCTGGGAGAAAGAGACCCTCCCAGACAACGGGTAAATCGATAGTAGTGCCCATCTTTAAGAACGATTCTCACAGTGAATGTATTAGCCACAGAGGTATTAGTTTGACTAATGTTGTGACAGGGCTTCTTGAGTCACTGATTCTTCGTCGTCTTACGGTGGCACCTGAAACAGTGACTCGTGAGAACCAAGCGGGATTTCGATCAGGTAGAGTGTGCGTTGACCACATCTTCACACTGCGTCAGGTGTTAGAGCAACGCAACATGTACAAGCGACCCATAATCTTGGTATTCCTTGACTTCAAGGATGTGTCCGATTCTGTCGATCGGTCAGTGCTGTTAACTATACTTGCTCAACAGGGTATGCCCCAGAAGTTTGTGAATATAATCTGATCCCCAAATTCAGTACTTCCGGACGGGTGGGACTGTATGGCTCTCCAAAAGCTTCCTTACAGAGAGTGGTGTCAGACAATGATGCCCGCTCTCCCCAGTCTTGTTCAACTTCGCCATCGATAGCAGCGTAGACAAAGTTGGTGAAAATGTTATAGATGTACTTTTACTGATCAAACTAAGCGAAGTGCCTGAAAAGTTAGCTAATCAAGGTGGGGGCTGTACAACCGCACCTAGGACCTTACTCGAATCATATTTAAACGCTTTCCTGTATTTTCTGCCTGGCTATCCGACGGCGAGAACTGAAAGTGCGGTGTTACACCCTAGGTCTGATGAACAAGTTCCCCCATCGTCAAGTTGCAGGTTCGGAAAGTATACGGTTACGTACTGTATAAGGACTTGCGCCCCTATAACAATGTACCGGCAACCACCGCATTAGGACGGAGTCAGATCCGAGAAAAACTGTGTCGTTTGCGTACTCGACGCCTGTCAGTGAATGTCTTGGGGGCATTTTTATCCCACAGGCCTCAGGCTGAGAATGAATTTTTCACGATCGTATTAACCATGAGGTTGGATAGGAAAGATGATAAAGGACTGCCTCACCTGGCACAACTTAATGGCGCTCGTGCATCCAAGCTATTGCTTTCAATTCATAGCTTCCCTCACAAACTCCCAGTTAAAAGTTCACTGACAATGCTGTGACAACGCTGTCATTGCTACTTGCCTTCCAGGATGTGGACCACGTGATCCCCACTGCGCCTGGTTGGACACGCTGCAAAATATAGCTGCCAACCAATGCCAGTGGCGTTCTAGTTGTCAGTTTCTATCCGGATTTCTTAAATGAGTGTTTGGAGGTGTAGGCACCTCGAAATGACTTTAGTAAGCTAGCACCAAGTCACCCGTCCACCTTTATTCTCTTCTTCACAATGAGGCTTTCAAATAAATCATGGTTATGCGGCAGTGAAGCATCGGTGTTGAATATTGATGTCACGCTGTCGATGATGACGATGATTTACTATATCAGCTACCGGTTCTAGTGCACAGCTATCTACCTCACCTTCCAAATCGTTGGTGAACGAACTTAGGGCAGCTAAAACCACTGCACGGCAAGTACGCAGTTCTTGAGACTGATGATGATGACTTGATGTATTGAACTCGGGCGAGAGGCTCAGTCGTTTGCTGGAGTTCAGGTACAGCTCTGCAAGGTGGGTCGAGAATTTACGAGGGACAGTCTTGCGTTGTTGTGCCTGACGGTTCACACAGTCAGAGGCAGCTTTCAATTTAAGGAGTTCCACCATCGTTGGTTGCTGGTAACAGTGTCGCCGCTCCATAATGTGACGGAGGGTGTAAATGTGATACATGCAGGACGGAACTCAGCTTGGCTTTCACGTATTTGTATCTATCTGTGTTCAGTCAAACTTCAAAGGATAAGACGAGAGAGCACATTCGATAAAAAATCTTTCAGCTGTAGCACCCTTTCGGTACCTAGTTGCCGTGCCACCCGAAGGTTGCATGAGGGCTGGGATACTGTCAGGTTGCCCAAGCCTAGACAGGGGAAGTCGAGTGGCAGAGGTCGGGTTCGAACCACGGACCTTCCGGTCAGTAAATTCGCTCTCTACCTACTTGGACCGTCTCGCCCCCACATTCGATACCACAGCTACCAGGCCAATGCTGCGTGGATTCCACACTTTATTCGCATATTCTTTTTCAATATAATAAACAATCGATGTGCCCCATTCTGCAGACTCCTATTCACTCTAATTAGCATTAATAAGTTTTGTGAGATAGATTACCAAGGTTCCTTCGTCTCCTTTGAAGAGGGCCATAAACAGACCATCTGATACTGGTGTCTTCCCATTTTTCAGTAGGGATATTTCGTGTTTTACTTATAACGGGCGGATACTGTTTTCAGTACGCTGGCCTGTGTACACAGTCTCTAGAGCCTGTTGCTTGATGTCAGCTAAATTGTTCCTCGAAGGTTCCGGTGAATATTTCTAGTCGGCGTTTTTGTGAGTGAATTTATTCACTTATCCTTCCACTGGCCGTCAGTTTCTTTTGGTTAGTCGACCTCATAGAGTTGTGTAGGTTACGACTGTTTTCAGGGCCAAAGCCCTTTACGTCTGTGCTTTTGATGCCCAGTAAACCTCTCGGTCTTTCCTTAGACTCTTTACTGTTTGGCGTTTGCGTGTGCCGTCGTGTTTGGTACCTACTGACACAGATTTTCAGGCATGGCCTGAAATCTCGATGATACCCGGTGGTTTCGAAGTCGGACGGAGCAGTGAACACCACCAGCATAGTTCCCTCCACATTTTGGTATACCTTATCAAGGTGCTCGTTACCCATCCACTTCTGGTTCACTGCAGAGAATAGTTAAATTGTCTGAGTTGGATACTGCTGATCCTGTTGGTAGTGGTGCATTGGGATGGGTAACTATTTAACAAGGTAGCTATGGGAACGCCAGGTCAGCTCGATAGCTGGGGCACTTTAGTTACTTAATTAGTTCTCTAGGTGTTCTACGTTTCTAGCTAATGTTCCTACTGGAAATGCTAACATCTTCGTCTAAATTTGTGATTTTCAATAGCTCATATTTCAGAATTGGAAAGACAGGCTCACTCTGTCTGCCTTATTGAGTGTGCACGTACCACGGACTGGTGTTGGTCCCCTTTGAATCCGTTGACAATCCAGAATGCGCTGCACTCACTGTGGTGGCACTAGTTTCGACGAGGATCGTGCTCGGGCCGATCTGGTATGTCTTGACTGTGGAATGGTCTTGAGCGAAAACGTGATATGTTCGGAAGTAGAATTTGTGGAAACTAGCGCAGGTGTATCGGCTGCTGTTGGCCGTTTTGTTTCGGATGAAAGTAAGTGTTGTGTAACCATGACGTTTATCCCAACCTATAGGTCAGGCGATCGGACGGGAGTCGCGACAGGTGACGGAGAATAGAGGTATGTTATCAATGGACCGGTCAGGATTTAGTGTACTTGCACATCTGATCTAGCATCGCTCATTCTCAACCTTCCCAGTAATGAATCCTGATGTTTAACTCCCATGAAACCATTCTGGATTCTTGTTTTGAAAGTTCCGTCTTTCCTAAAGCGGACGACTGAACGATTTTAAGGTACTCAACTCCTCTTATGTTGGCTCGAGGAGCCACCAATGGCATTGATCGAACGTCTTTTACAATTTGCACCCAGCACAGCTCCATCATACAATAGCGGGTAGTCCATCTCGGTAGTGGCATCCAGCTCACAACTTGGACCGGTCACGTCTCACATCCTGTATATGTTTTCATCTTGTCCCCTCTAGTGGTTATTCCTCTTTCCTGATTAGCTTATTGAAATATGACAAGTAGTGAGAAACTTAGTGCGTTCCAGTCTCTGCGCCTTCATACGCTTGCGCGGGCTAATGCTCTCCAGGCTACCGTGCACTTTCTTGTCTTATGCAATAAACAGCAATTTGTAGCGAATGGAATTAGCAGGCGTGTTACGGAAGACACCGATTTAATACATCTTCCGTGTCGTATCAATCCCCAGCTGTCGTCCCCGCGGCATCATAAACTGCTCAAGTGAATAATTCAGCAGCGTCTGAGTGTAGTTAATTGCAGAGTGCAGTCGAGAGAGTCAACTCGCTGGTTCTCTCCAACAGCGTCCTCCTGTCTTACCACCATACGATTTTAAACAGGAGTTCGAATGACCGATCGAAACGTACGTTGGTGCTTCTCTCCTTGATCTACTTCCCCCTGAATTTTTACACAACTTATCTTTGGGCCCACAGACTGGTCCCGGGGAATTCCAAAAACACGTCAATCAAACGTGTGCTTGAAAAGTGTAACGTTCCACCGAACATATTGAATAAACAGGTGTCCTACAAGGTTGGTCTGTGTGCTGGATGATTTCGGCTCTCGACGGTTAGGCTGTAGAAGTTTTAGTCTAAAGTGTGTTCTCTTGTTGATTTCATGGTGTTTGAAACCCTGTTGATCGAGTAACCAGAACCGTGGATCTGAGTACGTATATGCGTAAAGAAGCATCACCAAGCCGCCGTTGTCTTGAAAGCACATCTCTTGGGAAGCGGTTTGTCTGACAATACTAGTTAATTTAAGGTCGGCTTATTTTGCGCTCTCCCAGGAACCACACCGTCTTTGGGGTGGGGAGGGAGTTGCAGTAGTGTGCTGTATACGACGGATCGTTGTTCCCCATATCGTCTTTCTTGATCGCCGGTTTTATTAGACCCACACACCAGACTTGCTGGTTCATTACAGCAGCTGAGCTAGCCAAGGTTCCCGTGTGTAACCGTCCCTGTATGAAGCTCTAAGGATACCACTGTCTTGCTCAGTAGTGCGGATGATCCAGTTTTACTTGCTGAATCTACTCACTTAACCATCTGGATCTCCCACATTCTCTTCACAGCCCGTCGACGAATTGACACAATCTGTGGGCATCTACGATTGGGCAATGATATAGCCACTTCTGCTTTCCGCTTCTACCAGAGTGCTCTTTTCAGAGGGATTACACGTGGACGAGGTGCTCTCCAGGTGGCAGCAAGTTGTGTCTATCTGGCCGCACGTCAACTCCGTGTTAATCTGATGCTGTTGGATCTCAGCGATGCGGTTGGAATCAATGTCTACGTTTTGGGACACTGCTATACGGAATTGAGACGCCGATTGCATCTGTCTATTCCCGAAATGGGTATGTTTCTCCCTGTTTTTTTCTGCTTGTTTACATCGCATTTCTTCACTCCGATTACGTTTTGCTTTAAGGTAGAAGAGATGGACATATACTGGTTGTGCAATTAACTGAGTTGCGATCAAAGGTGTTCCTATTTCTGTCGCGGAATATTTGCATCTGGATAGCACTCTTGAGATTCACAATTTTTTCAAATTTGATCTTCACCTCCTCAGTCATCGAGTGTCCTTTTTCGCATTACTAGGCTGCCAACCGATGTCAGTGGCGTTCTTGTTGTCAGTTTCTTTCCAGATTGTCTGAGTGAATGTCTGGAGGTGTAGGCGCCTGGGAATGATTGTGGTAACCTAGCACTAAGTCCCTTCCCCGTCCACCTTTACTCTTCTTTACAATAAGGCCAAGCGATACAAAAAGACCTGTCGGCAGTGAAGCGTCGGTGTTGAGCACTGATGTCATTCTGTCGGGGATGATGATCATAATGACTAGGCAGCACCCATTAACTACCTATAAGGTTACCATACTGGTCTATCGTACCAATTGAAATATAAGGTCGCCCGGTACTGCACATCCCATTGAGGAAGAGACGCTCAGCTGGGTCTCTCCTCTGAAAACCAAATCGATTTTAGGGTATTTCGATAGCTCTCCATGGATGAGTTAACTTGCTATCGTCAAATCTGAAAATGTATGAAAATTAGCGGGTTACTGTATAAAGTCCATAGTCGCACACGGAGAACGCCGCTACTTCGTGGATCATGCAGTTCACTCACATGAAGGTTGAAATGTGGTTGGCCCATCGAGACATATCACAACGCAGGAGATCGGGTGCACAATTTTAACTTATGGAGGAAAGGTGCTATGCCGATGACAGAACGCTGCATATGCGCAAACTGGTTCATCATAACATCCTGGGCGAAACATCAATGCGGCGGGAGGAATATCGTAGTATCGATGTTTCGCTATGGTTACCGTGGATTAGCATCCTGTTACTTCGAAGTCCATTAGTGGAACTATAGCTATGTCGGTCATGAGACGTAGGTTTCTTGGATGAACAAGCCGCAGGTCAATGATAGGAAGAAGCCACCGTGACAATAATGTGCTTGGACGTGCTTTGCGGCGCAGGTTTTCGTACGATAGATGGCGTGAAATTACTGACCTGTAGGTCCTTGGTTCGAACCCAACCTCTGAACCTGGACTTCTCTTGTCTAGCCTTGGGCAACCTGGCTGTATCCAAGCCCCCGTGTTTCCTTGGGTTGCATGGCAGCTAGGCACCGAAAGGGTGTTACAGCAGTAAGTATGAGGACATGAATGTATGCGGGTTTCGCATGCATTCGTTTTTCTAAAGCTTGCGAGATTTTCCATCTTTTCTTTACGACTTTCCGACAAAATGGCATACTGTCGACTGACCGTAGCCCTTAGTTTTTCAGTAGCAATCCCTTACTTGAGACTGTACCGTGCACTAAATGTCGGTTAGATGGCTAAAATTCGCCCACTCGTTGGCCTAATGAATTTCGCTTTAGCACCAGCTGCTTGACGTCAAAGTGAGACCGCTCTCATGTGGGTATCCACCTCGAAAGGTAGTGTTCTTTCCGCAAATTTATCGCATCCCTTGTTTCTTCCCTCAGAATTAACTTCATATGATTTCAAGTCTGATCCTTTGTTCTCCACAGACCCCTGTCTCTACATTGAGCGGTTCGCGAGTCAGTTGGAATTTGGCGACAAAATGCCCGTCGTTGCCACCACTGCGATGCGTTTGCTTCAGCGGATGAAAAAGGACTGGCTGACGACCGGTCGTCGACCAAGCGGTCTGGCCGCCGCTGCCCTCCTGGTCGCTGCGCGCATACACGAATTTAACCGCAACGAGGAGGATGTGGCCCGGATAGGTTAGCCTCTTTGTCCTCATATGACCAGCGTCCGTTTTATTCAACGACAGAAACCATCGAAACTGATTTTTTTGCGCTTTACACCGCAAGAGACGTTTTCTGTCATTGCCCTGTCATTGCGTTTTTCTTATTTGCCAATTCATCATGGTCAATAATCCCCGTTACCAATCGTGAATCGGTTACGCTTGAACTAAGTTTGCTTCACAACCTCTCGTCATCACTATCTGTTTGCCATTCGGAAAGCCACGGATGACTTTAGTATTGATTTTTTGCTCTGTTGCTCCTGAAGCTCGAATTAGCCAACAAACAGCACGGAAACGTTTGGAGGAATTCGGAAGGACACCAACTTCGGCTTTGAGTATCGAGGATTTCTTCACTGTGGACTACGAGGAGGAACAGGATCCACCAGCTTTCACATCTGCACGGAAATCGGATGAGTCTGTGAAGGTACTGGCTATTTGTTGTCGGATCGTGCTTTGTGGTTTCACCTGACTCACATTAATTCTCCCGTTTGAGGACGAATGGATGCATAAATTAGTGCTTCTGGTCAAGTCAGGGGTCCATATTTTTGGACATTCAATCCGTATACGTGTATAGTGAATCATTAAGCTGCAGGGTTACTCATTCTGTTCCGATGCTCTTTGTAACTGCCTGTGGGGGCAAGATGACTCAGTTAGGTTAGAGCGCGAATTTGCTAACCGGTAGGTCCGTGGTTCGACTCCGCCTCTAGACTTCAACTGTCTAGGATTGGGTGACCTGCCAGTATCCCAGCCTTCGTTCTTCCTTCGGGTGGCATGGCGGTTACACACCGAAAGGGTGTTATAACGGAACGATTTTTAACTGCCTGTACGGACAGAACTGAATTGTTGCCTGTGTGAGGTCTTTCATAATCAACATTGAATTCCAGATGGACTGTATAACCCCGCACGATACTGTGCATGCAGTCAGCAACTCAGTGGAGTGCCCGAATCCTTTCGACAATCATCGCTTAGCCCTCTGATGTGCTCCAGCCCCGAACATACTGACATCTCCGTCTATTCGACAACAAGGTAGTCGAAAAAGCTCAGTACTCCTCCTCACAATTGGTCGCTGTGCCTTGGTAGCCGACTAATTTTGGCGTTGGAAATTGTAATTTAGAAGACAGTGTAGATTCTCTGCTCAGATCGAATCGCACATATGGTGGATGAGCCCCTACCTAGTTCCTTGACAGAGTAGACGGCTGAGGGAGAGGGTTCTCGGTTCAGTCCTTGTGGTGAATTATACAGAAAATCTCGCTACTTCGAAAAAAATGACTTACTGCACCCGCTGCGCCGTCTTAGCCTAACCGTTTGAATGGCTTGTAATCCTAGAGAAACCCATCACTATACTATACTACACTATCGTTCAGCTGTGGCACCCTTTCGGTGCCTAACTGCCATGCCACCCGAAGATTGCACGAGGGCGGAGATACTGCCAGGTTGCCCAAGCCTAGACAGAGGAAGTCGAGAGGCAGAGGTCGGTTTCGAACCACGAACCTTCAGGTCAGCAAATTCTCGCTCTAACCACTTGGGTCATCTCGACCCCTAGAGAAACCAATACGGCTCGAATCCGGGTACAGACTAGTGCCAGTGAACCCCAGCAGGGAGCCCATAAACTAATCACAGGTTTACAGGTAATGGTTGGCAAGACGTCCCGAAAAATCTAGTGACTGTTGGCTCGATTGCAAGCAGGCCTCTTTTCTTTGTTTCCACAGCTAGGTGAATTTCGAGATTCCTGACTGGCCATTATCACCGTCAGTTGCAGAATCACATCAGTAATAGATACTAGCACTTACCTGATTAGTCAGCTTCGTGGTCTGCAAAGGTCCTGTGTAAGACAACATTAGGTCAAAGTCCAGATCCCAGGTGGGATTGTTGATCTTGCTTCCGACAAGAAAGTCACCTTTTATTCATGTCCGAGTAATCTATGCCTAACAACACCACACTGATGCTGAGTTTGCTACCCTGGAATTGCCAAGGGCGGCTTCTGTTGCGAATCACCATTTTCAGCGTTTTCGCGGACAAATCATTGTATGTTCTAAACGATCAGCATTTTGTTAGTGTCTGATCTATTCTCTATCACTTTCAACTTCTCACCCACTCCCAACACTAGGAACTCGATGAGGCATCATTCGCTCGAATCTCAGCGGAAATCAACGAACTGGAGCGACGAATCGATGTTGAACTGCAATCGCTCATTGACAAACGTTCGTCTCGCAAACTGCGCATGAAACTGGAAGAGATGGGTTCGTTGAGTATCCATTTTTTTCATGAAAGAATCGTTGCTTTTACCAAGGGGGATGGTGTCCAAACCACCCACTGGGATTTCGGAGGCCATCAAAAGGGTATTTGCAAGTATGAAACAGCTCTCAGTTAGCAGAACCGCTCAAACAATCAGTATTTATTCAGTTCACATCGCCTACCACTGGTCTTCTATTCACACTGGTCATGCTTTTTGCACTTAGTTCATTCCAAAGGACAATCCGAATACTGCAGTGTTCTCTCCACCAGAATTGATCACCGACTCATCATCAGGCTGACTGACGTTTGATCCTATTTTATTTGACGTGTGAGGTAGACACACTAATTCCGGTCCTGTAACACTTTCACCTAACCAGATTCGTGACAAGAACATGTCCCAGAGGACTCTGACCAGTCGTCTGTCCTGCCCGTCTTCGAAAAAGGCAGCCGAACGAACCGTTCCAACCATATGGGTGTAAGTCTCACGCCTGTCTTAATACGGCTATAAATCGTTCAGCTATAACACCCTGTCGGTGCCTNAGTAAATTCGTGCTCTAACCACTTGGCTTATCTCGCCCCCAATACGGCTACTGGCTCCCCTCATATTGCTTCGCTAATCTTCAGGATTTGAGACTCAAGACCAAGAGCATTAAGCAGAATTTTGACATGTCAGAGGGTGCAATGATCATCTATTTTACATCAAGTGCTTGAGAAGCGGCACCATCAACAGTTGCAGTTTTTCTCGGCTTTAGAGGTGCCGTGGGTTCTGTGGATCGACTGGCTCTCCTAAATATTCTTCACTGGACGGGGATGTCATTGAATTTCGTAAACATTCTTTGTGCCCTGTATTTCTTTACCTTCGGTCGGATTGGGTCGATGTACAGTGAACTGCCTGGAAACTTTCTGCCGACTGATAAAGCTTGTCAGAGCTGCCCTCTTATCCTTTTTTGTTCAGCTCTGACATCGACGTTATTGTGGCTTCCGCAAACCAAGGGACCGTGAGTCTACGTATTCAGATGTTATTGAGAGAGGCTGGTGAACTTAACTTGTGTGACGGTATTGTCTTTTTGTTTAATGATTTTTTGGCAGTTTTTTGTGCCCTCAGAGATCAAAGCCTTACTCCAAGACTTCTCATTGTCTCATGTTTCTCTGAAACAGAATGAAGCGCTTGAGTTTATTGATCGGATCATATGTCTTTACGGCTACATAAACGGTGATGTACTGTAACAAATGAAGTTAATATCTTGTCAACAAAGGCGCTAACTTGCGTCACTTGTGGTGTCACTGAACCCGATGGGTCATGTATACAAGGCAACTGTGAGGACGATCGTACTCTATGGTTGTGAGACTTGGCGCCTGCGATCCCAGGACCTTTGATGTCTTCAAACGTCTCCCGAGCATAACGAGACTTAGCATCGATTTGGTGCGTAAGCGGGTACTTGATAACAAATCAACAACAAGCAAACAATCGTTCAGCTGTAACACCTTTTCGGTGCCTAGCTGCCATGCAACCCAAAGGAAGCACGAGGACTGGGATGCTGCCAGGTTGCCGAAGCTTAGATAGAGGAAGTCAAGAGGAAGAGGTCGGCTTCGATCAGTAAATTCGCGCTCTAACCACTGAGCCAACGAATACGAACTGTTAGAGTAGCAGATTAATATTACCAGGTTGGGGCGCTTGAGAAATGCTTTGCCAGTTTGTATGCCGAAGAAAACGTTTTCTATTTCAAACGATTGTTGAGAACGTTGTTTTCTATTTCAAGCGATTGTTGGCGCAAGGTCCAGGGGTCGAGGGCCATGACACTGTGGCCTGAAGCGAAGGCGGTTACGGTTAAACTATGTACTGTGTTGTCTTCGCGCCTTCCTGGCTGGGTATAACGTGGTCCTACTTACAGGCGATTATATACCCTGAAGGACATAGCGTGCTACCGATCCCATTGGCGTGCATGCTGTCATTTCCCAACCGGATTGCCTGGATAAAGTTGGCCTGTCGTTGTGGGATGACCTTTAGTCGGGTGAGGTTTGCGAAGTACGCCGGTTCAAGCCAACTGACGATGCCTTACGTCGATATGATGCTCATGTTGGTTCATTTTAGCACTGTCCAAATCTATAAGGACCTTTAGTCGGGTGAGGTTTGCGAAGTACACCCGTTCAAGCCAACTGACGACTCCTTACATCGATATGATGCTCATGTTTGTTCATTTTAGCACCGTCCAAATCTATAAGAACAGTCCTCCTTAAGGGGATGGAACTGCTTCTCCCATATCTTCCTCTTTTCTTTCCAATCTTCATGGAGACTCTTTCCCTCATGGATGTATGGCATTTAGGCACCAGTATATACCACTGGCGTGTTACTGTCAATGATGCTAAGGGCGATGACTTTTGATGAAACTTTTGTCCCGTGCGTGAGGCCAGTCTATGCTGAAAAGCCGAAAATGTACGTACAGCTGTTTCGTCCTTATTGGGAACCAGCAGTACGCACCTCATAGAAATCCAGGGAGTCTCCTGGCTGATAGTTTGAACACTCGACCGTTCGGCCACGGGTCGCCGATCATCAGTGTGATTAACTCGCACCTAGACAGGATATAGCGCCGCTCCTCCTTCATTCACGGGATCCACATCACGCGGTCACACGTGTTGACTGGCTCGTCGAGCAACGACTTTTGAGATAGGAGTTTCACTTTTAATTGCGGTTTCCACCAAACTTCAGTCATAGCGCGCTCAAAGAAATCTTACTTGACATGACTTGAGTTTCATTAGCTCGAACTTTCGGATATGCAACGTCTTTTTCGCTGATGCCGACGAAAATTCGTCATCAAATCGACCACCATAACGTCCTAGTGCTCAGCCAGACAATGTCTTTGGGCATACCGAACTGAGTTCTTGATATGCCTAACTGCACTTGTCAACGCGGTTGATTGCGCAATGCAATCGGATGAAGTGAACGGATATGACAGACACGTGTCAACTGCTCTCTCACGTGGTACATATCTGGGACAGTTCATCTTGTTCGATATTGTCCATCTGCATTGGACCCCACAAGTCGTCTGAACATAGTTTGACTTTTTCGGGATTGCAGCGTCGATAAGTTAAACGTACGAGTAGCTCAAGAGCACGATAACCCGGGTCGAAAAAATCGGTGGAGGATTATGGTCGACTCGCTTTGGTTTACCCTTAGGAACGTTTATCGCGCCGTGAGGCAAGTCTTCAGTGAAATCCACTACCTAATATCCTTTTTTAATTCATCCAAACATCCACTGATTGAGCAGCTCACGTGCTGTTTTTGATGACGATGTAGAGGTCTGAGCTTAGCTCGTCCATCGCTAGGATAAATGGTGAATACATGTTTCGGACTTCGATGAATACATTTCGCGTTTAACCGTTGCCATTAGGTGCTGCGACATGACTCCCAACACAAAACTGCAATTAAGTGGGGGGGGGGGGGGGCGTTGAGAAACCGCGTAGTAACATGGAGTGGGATGATCCTTAGCTGGAATATGCAAGCTTCCTGCTCAACAGAGTTCCAAAGTGTGTTCATCGGGGTGGGAAATTTAATGGAACCATCAGACATGTTTTCAAACCTCCTCCAATCCACTTTCATTTGCATGCCGAAGGTGAACGTTCCGTAGATATTTCTTTAGCGAATAGTGTGCCTGACTGGAGATTAGTGATATTCGAATGATGAGTGATGACGCTAGCTAACAACGGGGGTTAGACGGGGTGTTTTCTCGCCCTGAACGCAACTCCTACCTCAGCAAGGCCTAAAATTACAAACTACACTGCAATGCTAGCGTGCTTTCAAGGAAGGCATTTCCAACTGGTTCAAACCTATGATTTGAATAAATTCAGTGCGGTCAAAGAGCATGGCATCACTTAAACCAACGTGCACCCAACACCAGTTGACACACCGTAACTGGGTGCAACGTCAACCTATCGTTTCTTTAGAGTAATCAGATGAATTTGATAAAGAATCGTTGATCATAGGCACTAGCATTACTGTCAGACCGTGTACTTTATCTCCCACGCGTAATTTACCAGAACCAATCACCCTTACTCCCTATTAAGTCTCATCAAGGTTCTCTTCTACCTGCATCGAATGTCTGTTAACTTCTCTTATCGAGGCCTTTGATCCCCCGCGTTGTCGGCCATCCTTTTCGTTGAGAAACCGCGTAGTAACATGGAGTGGGATGATCCTTAGCTGGAATATGCAAGCTTTCTGCTCAACAGAGTTCCAAAGTGTGTTCATCGAGGTGGGAAATTTAATGGAACCATCAGACATGTTTTCAAACCTCCTCCAATCCACTTTCATTTGCATGCCGAAGGTGAACGTTCCGTAGATATTTCTTTAGCGAATAGTGTGCCTGACTGGAGATTAGTGATATTCGAATGATGAGTCGCAGATGACGCTAACAACGGGGGTTAGACGGGGTGTTTTCTCGCCCTGAACGCAACTCCTACCTCAGCAAGGCCTAAAATTACAAACTACACTGCAATGCTAGCGTGCTTTCAAGGAAGGCATTTCCAACTGGTTCAAACCTATGATTTGAATAAATTCAGTGCGGTCAAAGAGCATGGCATCACTTAAACCAACGTGCACCCAACACCAGTTGACACACCGTAACTGGGTGCAACGTCAACCTATCGTTTCTTTAGAGTAATCAGATGAATTTGATAAAGAATCGTTGATCATAGGCACTAGCATTACTGTCAGACCGTGTACTTTATCTCCCACGCGTAATTTACCAGAACCAATCACCCTTACTCCCTATTAAGTCTCATCAAGGTTCTCTTCTACCTGCATCGAATGTCTGTTAACTTCTCTTATCGAGGCCTTTGATCCCCCGCGTTGTCGGCCATCCTTTTCGGAGTTATCGGCCACTCTGACCTAGATTTTAGTCTGTCTATCGAAGCAGTTAACTGAGATAGAATCCAGGTCACATGTTTTTGCATCTACTTTAAGAAAGGGTTGGACGTTGAGTGTCAGGAGTACAGACAAGAAAGTCAACTGTACGCCAAAGACAAGGGAGACCCATCGTGAATGCTGCTTATGGCGCGTTCTGTTTCCGCATTAATGTACCATATTGTATCACAGGAAAATTCATGCGGAATTCCATTCTTTGTCCGATTTCGCCATTTTCTGTGACCCACGGCCCTTGACACTGTCATCTTGACAGTACTGTTCTTCTGTTCCTACTGACTTTTTAGAGGTTGGTCACTCAAAGGGTATCGATCACTTGTTGTACCCCATATCGGAGTCGAACGATCAACCTGACCAGACCGCAACTTCCACACTAGACCAGAGTTCACCCAAGGCATCAGCCGACGAAGACACTACGGCCACTGCCAGCACCGACCCGACTCCTACTCGTAGTATTCTACGGGATGTTCTAGATGGCATTGTAGAACCTTCCCTGTTGGACAGTTGCGTGGAGGATCTTCGAATTTTGACAGAACACTCGGGCGCCGAAGTTTGCGAGCTTCTCAGTCAAGCCGAGGCTCAGCAAGATTTGGTTGATCAAAATCCGGAATCTTTGGACCCGGACTCGAAGTTGAATGGAGAATCCGAGCCGACGAGCGAGGAGAAACCGAATGGTAAGCAGGATATTAACTGCTTGAAGGTTTGTTCCCCCCTCGACCCCCGTCGTTTGCATAATCGTCTAGCCAATGCTGATTTGCTTTTCGTTGTTCCGTAGAATCAATTCCAATGAAACTGCCACTATTTCTGCCGTCTGCCAGAGTTGCCAAAATCGAATACCCAGGTGAGTTTTATCCATAATTCGCAATCATAATAATTAACTGGATTCAATTGCCGTTCAGTTTTCACCCCGTTCGGATAAAACAGCACCAGCTTTCGAGCGCTTTTTTACAGTTTGTCCCCTAAATCCTGATCAGTGTTTATATACGATCGCGTTTAGTTAGTTTTACCGTATTGTACGTAGAAAGAACAGTTTTGAATTGCTATTCGGTCAATAAAACCGTATGGTCAAGGAGTGGACTAATCTGTAAAACTCTCCACCATTCACCAAAACGTCGATGAATCATCCGAGAATCACAGCTGTGGGCGGTTCGGTTTGCGCTAGTAAAATCCTTGGTTTTCATGACGTTATGCCTCTGGAATACATGTGCTGTTGATATGTCGCATGCAGTGTGTTTCACTGGTTGCTAGCTACATCCTAAGGAAGAGTATGGTATGAACAGATTCACCCCAAGTTCAAAAGTTGGTAGACAGTAGAAGAGGACAGTGGCGTAGTAGTGTATGATAAATAAACGTGTTTTAATTCACCCTTCTAGCGGATTTTCACTTCGGTGGTGCAAAACACCGAGTGGCTAACACTGGCCAGAATATGAAGAAGTTGTATGAGCATTGTAGTGCGTTTGTGGTAGATAAGGTTGATCACAATGTTGAGTGTCCGCTACTGTTGAGTGCCTGTTCTAACGTTCGGTTCGTCCGATCGTTGTATGAGCATTGTAGTGCGTTTGTGGTAGATAAGGTTGATCACAATGTTGAGTGTCCGCTACTGTTGAGTGCCTGTTCTAACGTTCGGTTCGTCTGATCGATTTGACAGCCGACTGTTAAAAAAAACCGTTCAGCTGCAGCACCCTTTCGGTGCCTAACTTCCATGCCACCCGAAGGAAGCACGAGGGCTGGGATACTGGCAGGTTGCCCAAGCCAAGACAGGAGAAGTCGAGAGGCATAGGTCGGGTTCGAACCACTGACCTTCCGGTCAATAAATTCGCGCTCTAACTACTTGTCTCAGAACCATAGCTCGCGTGGGTTGGTGTCGGAGAGTCCTTAGCTAGGTATTTGGAAGGCGCGTATTTGCTTGTGCAATGGGGACTTCCATCGAAGTACGCGCCCAGCACCAGAAGCTGCTTTGGTTAAGTCATGCATTGCGTATGCCGAGGCGAGTGCTTTTTTCCGTGTCCAATTCTGAGAGCTGGCCAACCTATGACCTAGCAGAGGGATATGAGAGAGGTCATGAATAGTCTGGGTGCTGTCACTGCGACTCGCCTTCCATGGATTCGAACCATGGACCTTTCGGTCAGTAAATTCGTGCTCTAACCACTGAACTATCTCGAGATCGATAGCTGGATGTTGCCCAATTGAAATTCCTATATCACACATCCTTATTGCGCTAACTGATGTATCACCTATTTACCTTAGCTTCAGCGCTGTAGAATCCTCACTAATATTCCTGCACTTGGTTGTTGATAACATTTAATTACATGATTGTTTCACTCCTCTCTTTGGGTCAGATTATCTTCCTCTTCAACGGCCAACTTTTAGTGTTTTTTTGGAATACCGACCTCTTAATCTTATTCGAATAACCTTCGGAAATAGTTTCTGGTAAACTAAGATAATCTATCTCTGTCTAAATGCTCCGCAGTGAACTGAAGCCGAAGTATCCGGGATTCGTTTTTCTCCGACAGCACCGTATGGTCCCCTTTCCTTTCTGATTAAATTATGACCAGACCAGTGGTAGTGTTGGTACCCCCCGTAAAGGGGGTACCAAAGGCCGTGTTATATTGTTGCGAGATTTTTCCGTCTGTTGCGCATTTTGCAGGTCCGTTGTCATTTGACATGCGTGATTTTTAGTGGACCTTCGGTCTGGCAATGGTGTGCAGACTCCCATATCCCCAGTGATCCGACTTGAAGCCCTGTTCACATGCTTTTTTCGGGCCGACTTCCTTCATCCTAAAGAGCACCTGGACATCACCTGGTCCCTTCCTTTCGGCTTCCTTAGCTCGAAAATCTTCAAATGTACCTTCAGGAATTTGTGTTCGTTCATGTAAGGGATGGGCCGTGTTGGGCAGGTTGTAGCCAGGCTTTGATGAACCAGCCAGTCATCCTTAGGCAGGCTTGTAGAGCACGTTCGCTGATAGCCCAGTTAAGAATCGCATCGTGTGGCGATGACGCAACTCCATGCAAACTTCACAAACTGTCCTGTCTAGGCTTGGACAACCTGGCGGCATCTCAGCCATCGTGCTCCCTTCGGGTGGCATGAGAGCTACGCACCGGAGGGGTGCTACAGGCGTTTATTTACTGCTTGCTTATATTAACTTTGAAGTTCGCGTGTGAAAGTCGGGAAGTGCAGTCGCCCAAATCCAGGCACGAAAAAGTTGCAGGTGTTTGACCGAAGCATCATGCCTTCCGGAGCAGTTTGAGAGTGGATGAATGTAAAGACCTCGTTAATGCACGATCCTCTTCAAAGTGGACCGTTTTCTTGTCCGAATTATTCTGCTTCTCGTGTCTGCTTCGTATCTTGCAATTCAAACAAAGTTGGGAACCAGTGGATTTTGTTCATTCTGTGAGGTCACTCTTTTCACCAATAGACAATGAATTGGATTTCTTCGTATTCCGCCTGAGATACTTGAATTATTGACGTTTGAACAATCGTCCTCTTGTTCTTGCGCATTCTGGTGAGTCCACATCAAAGGAGAGAAGCACTGGACTTGACTTTCGCTCTTGTTAGAGCTCATCAGCAGTGTCACGTCCTTGGCTATGCCGCGGTTTGAACTCCACACATCTGACATACGAGTCCATCAGCGCACACTGGACCCACCTGGAAGCAACCAGGATGCATGTTAAACGTGTAGAGTTCAAACCCCGACGCAGTCAAGGGTATGCGTGCACTGCTGATGAGTTCGTATAAGAACCAAACTCCCCTTTAGTGTGGACTCATCAGAATAATTACTCCAGGATAGGAGAACTACTGTTCAAACAAGAGTGATGTGAACGTGAATACTACGAATCCTGCAAATGTTTACAACGACACCAGTTATTCTCATCGGTGTTCTTTATTTCCTCTTTGCTGCTTACTGGTTGACTTTCTCCTACAGACATGAAAGACGGAACTTTGTCTCTTGAGGGAATTGACGATGAAGAACTGGACCAGGTGAGGTCACGTGCTTTTGCGTCACTAGATGATTTGTTGAACTTATTGTGCTTATCACGCTGCAATTTCGCCGAGTTTTTGTCGCACTGCGTTCATCTGTAGCACCCTTTCGGTGCCTAACTGCCACGCCACATGAGGGCTTGGATACTGCCAGTTTGCCCAAGCCTAGACGAGGGAAGTCGAGAGGCAGAGGTCGG